TCAATAATGGCTGCAGGATCATTGTGTAAAGTGTCTGCAGGTTTAATGCAGATAGGATGTCATTATTATTTTCTTTCTCCTAATGACCATCATTATGCACGGACACTGATTGAATTCCATTTGTTACCTACGTTTGAGCCTGAGTGGAATAATTACCATTTAAGTATCTCCATTAAAATTCATGCACGGATGTTCATACTCAGACCTTCTTTTAAAAATAACTAAAGTATTCACTGAATACAAAAACGCATCAGATATAACACAGCCTTGCTTTTATACTTCCAAGAATAATTACATGTGAGTGTTAGTAAAGCATGTCTTCCTTTTGAGTTTGTATACTTATTAAATGATGGCAAAAAAAAAGAAAAGCAAGAAACAGTCGCTGCTCAGTTTCTATCAATGCAGCACACTTTCTTAATATTTAATTAAAATGGATTTGCTGGTAAGTGTGATCAATATCCAGCACCCTGGCTAAATTGCTTTTTCAACCTCTTGAGTCACATACAAAATAAATATGTTTTAATGGTAACATACAAATCTGTTACATTTCTGTTTTTATATCACATGGAGAGAGAGAGAAAAAAAGGTTGTATAGAAATAAAAGGGGATATTTTTCTGCTGTTACAAGCACAAATGACAATTCTTCCCAAGGCAGCTCAGTCATAGGTCTATAAGCCTATTTCTTTATTCATTGGTGCATGAATTTAGTAACAGCCGAACATGTCACTCCTTGTTTCTTGTTTTACTGGTGGTCATCCTGAGTGTATACTCGCCCAAGTGGAAGTAACTATGTTTATGTTGCAGGTAAATAAGGCAGCCTCTTCCTAATACAGCCATCTTTCTGTAAATACACAGCTGAACAGTGAGCCAGCAGAGGAGAACGGAAAGGGGATTTGGCCACACCTAATCAATCACTGACAGATTACTGCTAAAGCCACTTCCATACACATTAAAGAGGGACAAATGCAGAATTGCAACTGAACAAGTTCTAGTTTTAAGCCAACAGTGGGACTTCCTGGTGATTTATCAAAGTCACTGCTGCTGAGCAGCATGCCTGTGTGATTGTAGTTCACAGCAGACAGAACTGAGGCGCAGCATTGAAAGGAGTGTTTATGCCCTCAGCTGTGGCACTGTCAGCCTTGTGGAATTTACTGTAAATCACATTGCTTTTATTGCAAGATTTAGTAGCTTATCCTCTTGTGGGCTCTATTCACTTCAAGCTTGTCCCTATTAGGATTTTAGCCTGAGTCTATACAGGGACTTGGATACACATCTTAAAATAATGTGGGAAATCATGTCTGTAATTTTTCACTTTTCACGCATCTTTCATTCTATAAAAGCTCTTTTGTGGCAAAAATGTTTCGCTGCTGCAACTCGACCACAGAGTCTGGATGTGTGAGTCTATTACTCGTACTCAAACATCTCTTTTCCTGATGAGAATCATTGACTCTGATAGCCCAGAGATACAGAGCAGCATCTCAGCAAATTATGTTGTTTACACTATTACTCCAGCAGAATCCCCAAATTGAATTTATGTAAGTTGTGTAATGATAGAGAATATAAACACCGTTTGGAGATGGGAAACCATTACGTTTCAGGACCAGTGGAAGTATTCAATATATTTTTATTTGTTATAAAACACGATGCTACTGTAGCTGCTGTGGTTATTGTGAAGCAACAATCACTATAAAGACCGGTCAATACCTCCACAATCCACTGATCAGGGGAATGAAAACTGTTACATAAAGATGCATGCTCCAGTGCATGCAGCTGGTTTCTCCAGAGTCAGTGTTTCATGGCAGAGAAAAATAAATGCCCAGCAACATTGCTGAAGTGATCACACATGACATAAGAGTCTGTAGGCAGAAGGTTAAAAAACAGCCAGTCACATGCCGTGTAAACCCCTAACCTCATTCCTGGGGAAATGAACAATTTCACTGTGTGTGTGTGTGTGTGTGTGTGTGTGTAGGAAAGGAAAGGAGGAAAGGGGATATTGCCAATTGTTTTACATCCATTCATTTTTTCCAAAGAGCGTTTGATCAATACAAGAGTAATAAAATAAAATAACTGATCTATAAAATGCTTCCTTCCACAGAGTTATGGCCAAAATGTTCTTTTTCTCAAATCCACCTCCATTCACTCTTATAGCCTTTATTAACAAAATCCATAATCTGAAATTGTCAAATAAAATCAACAAAAAAATCACATCCACCGGCTATAATTTCTTCCCAAGGTTTGGTATGTGTCAAGGATTGGAGTGTGTGATGGACATGAACTGTGCTCCCTGTAGCTGTATGTGCGGGTGTCTGCATGATGTGTGTATTGACGTGCTGTAGCAAGAGTTCAGGGAGGCAGCTGAGCAAAATAATTTAGAATGTCCTGCCTGCTGACACAAGGACAAAGGCACAGACTGAACATGCCCATATGAGGAAGGAGACAATGGACGTGGCTACACCTGGAAATGCACTGCTGTTGTTTTCACCATGACCTCCACAGCACACAGAGATTTTCACTCTGCTGCTCCTACAAGCGCTCACTTCTAGGCCGAGTCATCTGCGTATTAACAGGATATTGTTCCACTATGGTCAGAAAATTATCTGATGAGCGCTGGCATTCTCAAATAACCAGCACACGTTCTTGTTATTACGGCAATTTTCTCTTTGTTGTTTGCTAACAGTGCCAGAACACTACACGGTGGTGGTGGTGGTGGTGGATGACGCTGGAGCTTAAAAACTGTCTCTTTTTTTTTTTTATTCCAGAGCAGCTCAGTGGCTGCTCCGTGTCCTGCCTTATGGGTAGGATTTCTCCAAAGAGTTCATGCAGTTGGAATTAGCATGGTGCAGTCAAGGGAGTACTGAAGGCTGAATCAATGCATCACTGCTAGGGCCTTGGGTATGGAGATGAGAGGGCATAATGTGACTTTTGGTGCCGATCCTCGTATCGCGTGTCTGACCAGGGTCTTTCTGCAGTGCTTCCCCCAGCGGAGAAGAGATCACCTTCCTCTTTCAAGGCCGTGCACAGATAGGGGCTGGAGAGTAATCTAGCACAAGCACGCGTCACAACAATAAAATTAGGATTTTTTTCTGGATGAAATTCTCGTGTCGTTATCCACTAAATCTCAAATTACAGTCGGGTGCCTGTTGGTTAGTTTAGGAAAACAACAGATTAACACATTACATGATGTTCAGCTGAGCAAAAAAACCAAACTGTGTACATGATAAACTGTTGTTTTATGGGGGATTATATGAAGATGTGATTTCTTGGCTGGATGCATTTCCTTCCTTTGAGTGTCACTGTGAGGTTGCAAGATCCCCCCTCTGTCTGCATGCTAAGCTGCTGTAAAATCACGGCAAGCACAATTCTTCTCTAATCATGTTTGGATGCTGATCTATTGCATGTAAAAGCCTGGGGTGACCGCATCAGCAGGTTGAGTTAAAGATAATTGATGCAGATGATTCTTGGTTGTAGAGATGTTCAACCTTTTCAGTGTCAAGAATGTGTTTTCAACCTATGGAATTCCACATCATGTCTGCAGATGAATAAAAAAAAAAACATACCTCACACAAAAGAAACATGCACATGAGGCACCTCACACCGCTCCCAGCAGTGTACATACACAGAACAAGGCAGAGGAAGGCAGTTCCAAGTAGTGCTTGCAGACAGTACAATTAGATAGTTAATGCGTCAAATTGCCTAAAGCAAAATGCTGCCATGATAGGCTACTTGTGAACTGCTGCTCATTAGGGTTGATTCTCTTTGAATTTGGCTCTCGCCGGAGAGAACATGCGCAGTGAGCAGCGTGCAGCCTTCAGTCAGTGGAGCAGCTGTCCAGGGTTTGGAATTCCAACATGGCAGAGGCTGTGGTCAGTCTTCCCCTCTCTAACTTGGAATGGTTTCAAATCGTGAGCAGCCACGCGTAACCCGAGCGAGCCATTCATCTGCGCACCGGCCGGATCGATGGTACTATAAACCCTGACGCTGCCCTGTCAACTAACACAGGTAAGTCCGATTGCGTGTTGGTGCGTGTTGGTGCGTGTGTGTGTGTGTGTGTGTGTGTGTGTGGCGGTGGTGATGCGAACAATTAAAAAAGAGAAAAACGGAGCAGCTCCGTATCCGCGCCGCTCGCAGGGAAAGAGAGGGAGACGATGTCGCGCATCGCAGAGCTGCAGTCAGTCCGTCAGTCAGTCAGCGTCGTTCTGCTGCTTTAATCCTAAATTTACTTGTCACCGCTTTGAGGAGAGAGAGACAAAAAAAACACACTAAATGGAGGCTGCAGAGCAAATTTTCGCAAATTAATATTTAACTAGTTTGAGGAGAAGGTTTTGCACACGCACGGCTGGATCCAGTCTC